TCCTGGTCAAAAGGGACCAAATGTCACATGTTTCATGTTCCACAAAACTAAAGCTGGAACAGTGCACGACAAGGGAATTTATTAATAGGATTTTTTGTCAATAAACACCAGACAGTTTGAGTTTTTCACAAAGTTTTGCACTTTTTAAAAATGTATCCAACAAAAGAGAAAGACGTTTAAACCTTCTTCATCACCCGCCAGGATTGCTGTCCAAGTATCGGACAAAATTGTCAACACAACCATCACTGGAGAGCGTTCTTCCAGCAAACGCTTCATTTAAAGCAAACGTATGGCGTAAGATTAGAGTCGGGTGGTGTGACTCACATCACAACAACAACATTACGGGCAACAAAGTAGTTCTGAATGCTACAACGTGGAAAAATGAGTTTTTCCTTTTGCAGTTAGCTCGATCATGTTGTTATCTGGAGGATTTGTAGACTACTGGGGATTTAGCTGTGACTCTATCGCAGAGCAGGTTGGTTTTATTCAGTTCACCTCTTCAGCAGTAACGGTGCTTCTGAAGTAGCAGCTGACACGTAGCATCACCCTGATACACAAGAATATGAATATGAAACAACGGCGTCTGCTCTGTCATCACGCTGGCTCAACAACAATGTGCTGTTTTTGATCTGCAGCAACATATGCTCTCATTGGTGTAATCTGAGTACTCTAACATGCTACTTAACGCGCCGTGCTGCTTAACAGCTCTGTGGGTCGCTCTTAAAGTTTGCCTCATTCATATTCCAAACTATAGAAAAGACCCGACGGACCTCGAGGGCAGAATGTTCCAGTACAAATATATTAAAGCAAGCGGAAGAGCAGACGTGAAAAAGAGCCTGTCACATTCAGACTTGTGCTCTGTTGCAAAACTTGATAATGAGATTGGAACAGGAACCAACAGAAGAAGAAAAACGAAGGGATCGGGGACGATCGCTCTTTCATGTCTGACGCGCATCCATTCCTCAGCGGCGGCTGCCTCCAATCTCCTCGCCTCCCCCCGGTGAACAATGAAGCTCCGTCCGTGACAGATCCACTGACAGATAGGCTTCCAGGAGGAGCTCCATCTCTGTTTATCACCTGACACTCGCGCCTGTAGTTCACACACAGGGCATATCTTCCCGTCTTCTACTCCTCAGCACCCATTCATGACTCTGTCAGCCTCGAGCTGTATCCATCACGCAGCTACACCTGACAGGATAATGGAGATCTACAGTGCTTCAGCTCTGGCTGTGACGAAGGCATCCGCGGCCAAAAGCGAAGGGAGCCAACTGCACGGCTTCATAAAGTGCACGCTGGACTGTACACCAGTGGTAACTTCACTGACACTTGGCAGCTTCTTCCAACTTCATTATTGCCCTTACACTTCCATCTTTGACCCGTTGCACGATTCTGTCTTTGTGATTTTCACATTACAGTGGAAATCATCTGGAAATACTTCAGTTCAGACTAAAAACAACCAGAAAAACCTTCATGCTCGACTTATAGTGTCGCACGCAAGTTTGTAGGTGCTCAGAGCCCAAGCAGTGACCTCCAGCAGCGTGGTGACCACAGAGTGAGAAATCTCAGTGAAGTTCAAGCTAGCAGCAGTGCAAAGCGGGCAGATCCCAAATTAAATTGACCTGAACTCTGAGCTGAGCTGTCACAGCATAGAGTAACTTTGACATACGACAGGTTCAGCTGCAAAGCGAAGCACGGTGAACAAAACGCCGCTTTAAGGAAAACAGTTGAGATCACAAGGCGGCAAAGATGAATGCAATCATGGGCAATGAACTTTCAGCCTTTGGAGACAAACAGCTCTGGAAATAAATGGACAAATGATGGAAATAAAAAGGCAGCAAGACAGTGTGCTATTGGCATTTTACATTCAGTCTGGCATCTAGAACAGAACAGAAGTCCCTCATCAGATAGCAACGTAGTTGCTGCAGGACGGCAACTTAACTGCACGTTAATATAAGCAACCTTTGTTTTTATGTAACAATGTAACCAGAATGCAACCCGTTGGCCACCAGCTGAGTGAAGTACCTGCTGCGTAGAGACACATCAGTGCAGACTGACTCAGACTGTGTTTATGAATCAGTCTGTGATTATTTGCAATCCTTCACCGATCTTCAGTCGCTTTTCTATTTTTGCTTTAGCGTGTTGGAGCCATTAGGAGTTCTTTTGTTTCTGAATATGATTTTGTGACTGTTTGCAACCACCAAAGACAAAATTCAGCATTTAAGAAGCGCAAGAAAGTAGAGCTGGGAGGTGTGTTGCTTTATAACATAGATACAGATTCCTGTTAGGCTGATGTAGTTTGGTTCTATCCGCCCATTTTCTATCACTTAACGGGGTTATGGGCCCTTTCCATCTGCTGCTTCAGCCCCTCTGTCGGGTGTAGAGGACTTGCCAGTCTAATAATAAACTCTAGGTTTCCTCTAGATTAACACTACTTCCCTTTATGTAAGGCTTTGACTTTGAGGTGCTTAAAGCGTGACTGGGTAACACCAAAGTCCTTCTCGAAGTCTTCGCCCAGTCGTTTGGATAAAATAAATAATTATTTAAATAAATGTAATTTCAGTGGATTCAGATCAGCATTAAAACCGCATATAAAGAGTCACAGGTCAAGTTTAATAAAAACCACCTAAAGGTTATCTCCGCCCGGATGCGTGCTCCTCAGTACGGCTGTGAAATTCTCCCGTGGATTTTAATTTCGGGTTATTAGTGTCTGAGGCTCCACACCTCAGAGTGTTTGGAACAAATGGAGAATGAGGACAAGTACAGATTTCTACTGAACCCATGGTAACATGTGAGGTAAATGGAGCTTTTATTTGGTTTGAAGCTGAAGTTTATAAAAGTCAGTCAGCCTGATTGAACATCAGATGGTCTGTAAGTATTTCCAGTGGGGAAATAGTTTTGGTTTACAAGGATTTTCTGCACCTTTACTGTGTAAAAACAGCTTTTTTTTGCCTGTGGACTTCATAACATTCCTACATTGTCTCACATTGTTTTTGTTTACATCTCAGAATAAAGATCCAGGTTATCTTTATGGTTAAATTGAGCATCTGTCTGTCAAAGGAAGAACGGACATGGTCAGCTGACCCAGCAAAGATCCACACTTTTAGTCCAAAGCACAGTTAAAACTTCCTGCAGCGTGTACAGGATGATTACACGAGACTCTGTGGGAAAGTATTTTCTTCCAGGTTTTAATTGTTGCTGTTGTTCTCAGCTTGTAGAAGAATTAACAGTTGTGGCCAATTTAAATGCAAACGCAGTTTGAGGGTGTCGGGAGGGTTCAGCGGGTTGAGCAGTGGTTCCAAAGGCGCCGCAGCTTTTTCATCAACCGCTGTAACGCAGTTTAAATTGAAAGGTAATGTGCTGTGACTCGAGTGTTTTTAAGGCACTGCAGCGTCAGTCCAGCACCACTGAAGGTCACAAGGGTGACGGCGTCTGCGGCGTCAGCAGGACGCGCCCGTCTTTAACAAGATCGATCGCCAATAATCGAATTGACTGCAAATATCGGCGGTGGGTCCCGCTGGTGTGACGCCCGCCAGCAGGTGATGTTTAGAAGCCATTTACATGTTTGCAATCGCCTGAAGTGAAGCGAATAATACGAACACGTGAACCCTGAAGAGATGTTTAATACTTCACCTGAAGCCGGACTCGACGTGTGTGTATGTGCGAGCAGATCGGATATGAAACGTGCCTTTTTTTAAAAACAGCCCTAAACTTCCTTCTTATCATCTGAAGAGCAGCGTGTCCGACATCATCAGCTTTAATCCTTTTCTTTAAAAATGACAATCTGTGTTTGCCAAAAAGAAACGTACATGTTTTACTTTTCTTTGTGTTTCATTTCTTTGTTTTTCTTCCATAAGTTTACGTCTTGTGTTTCTGGTATTTGTTTAGAGATCTGGCTGTAATGTTTCTGCTTTAATGGATATTCTGTTTCTTTTCTTTATATGTTTTTTTATTATTTGGTTTTTATGACTCACAAAAAAGTTAAATAAATGAAATAAATGATTTATATTCATCTGAAGTGCATCAGCCTCGAAGGAAAACTTTCCT